GGGAGAGGGGGGCCCCCAACGCTTTGTTGGACGCGCAAGGTCTGCTGTAGAACCGAGGGAAGCAGCAGCAGCAAGAGCTAATGCTGCAGCAGGAAGAGTTAGATCACCAGAAGCAGCAGGAGGCGACCAATCATCCCTATCCCCATCCCCATCCCCAGCAGCAGCAGCAGCAACAGCAGCAGCAGCAGCAGCAGCAGCAGCAGCAGCAGCAGAGAGTGAGGATGCTCCGTACTACGTGGCTTACCAGAAGACCTTCTTAACCCCCCAGCCGACTACCCTGGCCTTTGAGGCCCTCAATTGGGCCTCGGGGGCCCTAGACCCTGTCGTTCTCGTCCAGGGCGATACACGCCAGCAGCAGCAGCAGCAGCAGCAGCAGCAGCAACAGCAGCAGCAGCAGCAGCAGGAGCAGGAGGAGCAGGAGTTTGTATCCTTAGGCAGCAGAGAGTCAGACCGCGTTGAGGGGCCCCAGGGAGAATTGCTAGAGAAAGGTAATGGGGGGCCCCCAGAGCAGGAGGGGGCCCCCGTGGGGGGCCCCCAGCGGGGGGGGGCCCCAGGGGGCCCCTCTGCTGAGCAGAATGTGGGGGCCCCCGATATACGACTGGAGATGGAATGCAAGGATACAAATGCTGCTGCTGCTGCTGCTGCTGGTACTGCTGCAGCAGCAGCAGAAGCAGGGCAAGAGGTAAGATATTTTTGCAGTGTATGAGCTGGTGGTGGTGCTGCTGTTGCAGTTGCTGCTGCTGCTGCAGTTGCTGCTGTTGTTGCTGCTGCTGCTGCAGTTGCTGCTGTTGTTGCTGCTGCTGCTGCAGTTGCTGCTGTTGCTGCTGCTGCTGCTGCAGTTGCTGCTGCTGTTGTAAAGATGAGCTGCTGCTTGTGCATGCGTTGTTGTGGCTGTTCGCAGGAAATAGAAGCAGCAACAGCAGCAGCAGAAACTCCAGCAGCAGCAGCAGAGGCAGCAGCAGCAGCAGCACCAGCAGCAGCAGCAGCAGCAGCAGGGAGACGCAGCAGAGCGAAAAGCAACAGCCGCAAAACTCATAGCTTCATCGACTCCTTGTTGATCCTTTTCTCGTCAGTCTAGTTGTTTTCATTTATTTTATTTTATTTTATTTTATTTTATTTTAATTTATTTTATTTTATTTTATTTTATTTTGTTTTATCTTATTGTTTTATTTTATTTTGTTTTGTTTTATTTTATACTTTTATTTGTTCTTTTTCGGTTGTGTGTTTGTTTGTTTATTTGTTTCTTTGTTTGTTGGTGCATGCATGCAGCAGCAGCAGCAGCAGCAACAGCAGCAGATGAGTTGG